GTATCCATAAGAACTAGATAGATCCTTGTTACCATAATCCACGCTAACCCTACGCCCACCCTGCACCCACCCTACGCCCACCCTACACCCACCCTACGCCCACCCTACGCCCACCCTACACCCACCCTACGCCCACCCTACGCCCACACTACACCCACCCTACACCCACCCTACGCCCACCCTACGCCCACCCTACGCCCACCCTACGCCCACCCTACACCCACCCTACGCCCACCCTACACCGAATGACTCGTCGAAACCTCTCGCCTGACATCATTTTGAAATACAAAGTATCCCCCCTACTACCCAGGCCTAGTCAGATACCCGGACCCTTGGGGCCACACACACACACACACACACACACACACACTGCTCCATCTTCGTCCTGGTACTAAATAATTACTCCATTACGCTGGTGTTCCCAGGCCTGGAAGAACCTAGCGCGCTATTACATTTTGGAACTCATTGATTACATTTCTTTTTTTCATTTTTTTTTTATTTAAAAGGTGGGGAGGAGGGTTGGATATGACCGGTTCCTCTTAAAACTAAGACTTGCGATTTCTGGACGCCAGTTAAACGTGAAAAGATGTATCATTGGTGTAATACACGACTGCTGAATAGTCAACTTTACAGAGTACATTATTGGGAAGACTTTCTTTTTGTCTTTTTGTTCTTATTCATTTGTTATAGTAAGGATCGCCAAAATGGGTCAAATTGATCAAATAGCCCGCGGTTTGCACTATAATAGAAAAATGGTTTAAAATGTTAAGGTTGTTCCTTCTGCACCCACCAAGGATACTGAGCTTAAATGCATCAGTAGCTTCTATTGTGAACCTCGGCACTGTGAGCTGACATTGTAAGACAATGAAAATGAAATGTTTAATGATGTAAACTAGACACACTGGGCGTGTTTTAGCCACCTAATCCTGGACAGATTGCAGATAAATGTCAACATCAGAGGTTCTCAAAAATAACCGAAATGCGGCATGATAGTGATTAGACGGCGCAATGGACAGAAAAGACCCCAGATGTACGTCATTTGAAAGTGCTGCCTCATTTCACTAAGTATACCACAACCCATTTTGAGGACCATAAGAATAGGCTTTAGGTCCGCTGTTTGAGACCCCTAATCCAAACCCTGCCGGAGGGGATAATCAAGACTATGTCATCTTTTTAATAGTGCCCTTGTTATGTTTCGATCCCTAGTTACGTTTCGATCCCTAGATATGTTCCGATCCCTAGTTATGTTTCGATCGCTAGTTACGTTTCGATCCCTAGATATGTTCCGATCCCTAGTTATGTTTCGATCCATATTATATTAGTTATGTTTCGATACCTAGTTATGTTTCGATCCCTAGTTATGCTTCGATCTCTACTTATGTTCCGATCCCTTGTTATGTTTCGACCCCCTCGCAATTTTGTACCAAATCGCTGTTTTGCTAGGGCCCCCTGTTGTAATCCCACCCACATCATTTTCTTTCTGGAGTCGGTGCTGTTTTCAACCCAATTCTACAAGCGACGTGAGCCTTCTGGAACACCCAAGATTACCTATAAAAAAAATGAGTCAGTCCTAAGAGAGGACAGTCCTAAAAGCCCAACCTATCACTGACCTCCGTCACAACATTGCCACACCGTGCCCGCAGACTTAATCTACCAAAGTACCTTCAAGCACTCCGGGTTTCCGATAACAGCGACCGAACCGTTACATTTTTTAAAAAAATGACATTGTCGACTTTCAGGGCTAAATTAGAACATTAATTAACATTTGCAACGGCAAAGACATTACCCCACAAACATTACCCCACAAACATTACCCCACGAGTTACCAGTAATTACGAACGGCGAAAGCGCTCAACGCCATTCCCATCAACTAATCCACCCCCCACCCACTTACCCACCTCTCCCAACCCCACTTTTGTTTTTTTTTTCTGAAAGGATGTTGATTATAACCAGCAATGTTTTTTTAATGTCTTTTGTTTAACTAGCGATTGATTATCGGGTGCCTTGTTTTCACACCATCCGTTAATACCATTTCCGTACACACACGCAGAATAGATGGGTCAGGAACGGGACCGTGAAAGCATCCGGATGAACTCCCCCCCACCCCCTCACGGTTATCATGTGTCAGTGTCAAGACTTTGACGTACTGTGAGTCCCACTCTATTCCACGAGATCAGTTTAAGTGTCAAGACTTTGACGTACTGTGAGTCCCACTCTATTCCACGAGATCAGTGTCAGTGTCAAGACTTTGACGTACTGTGAGTCCCACTCTATTCCACGAGATCAGTTTCAGTGTCAAGACTTTGACGTACTGTGAGTCCCACTCTATTCCACGAGATCAGTTTCAGTGTCAAGACTTTGACGTACTGTGAGTCCCACTTATTCCACGAGGTCAGTGTAGGTGTCAAGACTTTGACGTACTGTGAGTCCCACTCTATTCCACGAGGTCAGTGTCAAGACTTTGACGTACTGTGAGTCCCACTCTATTCCACGAGGTCAGTGTAGGTGTCAAGACTTTGACGTACTGTGAGTCCCATTCTATTCCCAATTAATGTACCCCCCCAACAATTAATTCCAACAAGGCCAATAACTACCCCGCCGCCTGACCCCCACCCTTAAGTTCAGGTTAATCCGTCATACGTCGAGGTTCCAGCTGGGCTATTCCACAGCAGCCAATCAAATCGTAGACATCTAGCCTTCCGGACGAAAGAGCTCTATCTCTTCTGGATACCTATGCTCCGAGAGAGACAGCTCTTTTCAGCTCTGCGCGGTCACGAAATCTTGATTGAAACTTGAAAGCTTCTCTCTAGGTGAGGGTCCCATTCCTTTAATACCATAACACCCGGGAAATCTAGGCGTTCTCCATCCATCCCGGACGTTCTCTCTATCTCACATTCATGTCATCTCCGTTTCTTGGTTATTCTCATACGCTCTGTCGTTGACCCCCCCAGCCCCCCCCCCCCCGCGCCCCAAACCCCGGGGCCTCATTTTTGCATCCGTCGCGTCAGAGGCGGTCGAAATTAGGGGAGGGAATAGCGATGGCCTGACAGGGGCCAAAGAGTTGGGATGCCGTTCAGTGTCTTCCCTTACAATCTGCTGGGAGGGCAAAGGAGGAAATTATTTATCTTCTACTTTAGCTAACTTTTTTCCCTGACCCCCAAAGGGGCAATTTCATAGCTGCTATTTAAGATGCTTTACAATTTTCTCTAACTCTCGGCCAGATGAGACGAAGAGGCGGGTCTGTAAATGGACGAGTTAGGTGGCAACGAGCTTCCATATACTTAATGAGCACTAATTTAACTGCTGTATCTTCGCCCGTATTCCCATTCTAACAAACTAAAGTAACTCACTGTGTCACCTATGTTCCACACGCATTGGATACAATGAAGGAAGTGCTTTTCATACCCAGATCTGTTGTGTAACCTTCGATCAATTCATTTATATTTCGCCATTTACAGAATCGGAATTCTATAAGTATTTATACACATCTACTGTGTCGCCATTATCCACATGCCCTACTTCCTATTTATTACAACACTTAACCATGTTTCTATCCCCACAGTTCGGACTGTATCCAAGCTGGAACATTTTTTGGTATCAACGTTCGTGCCTTCTTATTGATCACCACTCCAACGCGCACGCACCACTCACAAGTCTCTCTGCTTGTGCGCGAAAAGTCTACCCCATGATCGTCATTCGATAGCAGTGCAGAAACAACAAGAAACAACAAGGTCCTGTCAAATTTCACCAACAAACTGACCTAGTTCATCCCCATAGTCAATTTGTTTGTTTTTTTGGTCATCCACAACACGCCTTTCCAATGTCCATCAAGAGGATCCTCAGAAAGCTCAAACAGACCCATCGCTTGTTGACCAGTCCGAAAATCGTCATCAAGGATGTGGTGGGGACATGAGCACCGACTGGTTACTTCACGGGGATTCCTTACTTAAAAGCCACTGGGAACCCACTTACGAAGTCCCACTGGGAACCCACTTACGAAGTCCCACTGGGAACCCACTTACGAAGTCCCACTGTTCGTCACGGTTTGCAGTCGCCAACGATGAGCTCCAGGGCGAGATTGTTCGAAATCACGCTCGTCATACCCAACTCAGTATGTCGGATACAACAACGGCGTGACCTCAGCGAGCCATCCTTCATCCAACATCCAATCTCGTAAGATAGATTATGTGCCTAAGTGGGCACAACCGCCCGCTGACATCTCCACCGCCAGGGTGAAATAACAGAGACTGACTCAAAGATAGTCATTTTTAAAATGATCGTGAGAAAACCAAAATGTGGATACCTGACTGGATATGCAAGTGTTTTAGAGCAAACCACACACGGCCAGAGCCCATAGTTCGGACACAGAGAGTGGCTACTACAGTAAAGAAGATTCTTAACGACGGTCGGTCCGCTCCGACACGGCGATAGAGTCCGAGCGCTGATTGTGATAGGAGTACATTACAAGACCTTGGATTTCTAAGCTCGGACGAGTCTCTCCGATTGATAAACAAATCAAAGGCTGCATGGAATATTCACAAAAGCTTACCTAAGACTCAACGTGCAAGTGCCTCTATCTCGGCACGTTCGAAAATTCTGGGATTAGATGGTAGGATACATAAAAAATTAGAGAAAATGTTTTTTTAATGTGAAATCGCCGTGACACTCAAGCCGATCATTGCTCTGGTAAGATTATCACATTTCGATTATACATTGAATAAATAATGCCCGAGGCAACTGCCCCGCAGTGATTGAAGCGGGGCTGTAGGGGGGAGTATCCGATAGGCGACTAGCTGACGGGCAATGACCTAATTATAACAGAGTCAGCACTTGTCCACAAACAGCTGCTGAACAGCACTCATCTATAAACAGCTATTGGTCAGCACCTGTTAACAAGCAGCTGTTCACAAACAGCTACTGGCCAGCACTCGTCCACAAACAGCTGTGGCATCCCACACTTTTCATCCTCCACTGGACGTGTTTTAAGTTTTTTGTATAACCTGCAGTGAAAAAGGCCGTTAATTCCAATCCTAGCCAAAACCCTTCAACACGGTGTCACGTACAATACTATCTGTAGCCATGAGTAATTTCACCGACAGCTTGAGCACGGGACAGGACTTCCTGTTGACAGTCACCAACAGCCAAAACACGTCCATTTCATTGGACTTCAACATGTCCATAACGACAATTGTGCCTGGTGGTCTGAACATGACCGATTCAGAGGTGGAGTCCACTCTGGTGAAGCTCAGCAAATTATACCAGGTAAGGGGAAAATGATTGGAAGTTGTGGTCAGTCATGTTAGAGTTAGGGTTAGTTAGGGTTAGTTAAGGTAAATTAGGGTTAGTTAGGGTTAGGGGGGAAAGATACGTTTTTCTAACGTCTTTAACATGGACTTAGAGAACTATGGACAGTTTAGCGTCAATATTCTCGTTTCATTGAATTGGTTTAGTAGCATGTTTGTCCTCAATCATTGTTTCATTGTAGTGGTTTAGTAGCATGTTTGTCCTCAATCATTGTTTCATTGAAAGAGTTTAGTAGCATTTTTGTGCTCAATCATTTTTTTTCATTGTAGGGGTTCAGAAGCATGTTTGTTCTCCATCATTATCCGTTGTATTGGTCCAGTACCATGTTTCTGCTCAATCATTGTTTCGGTTTAAGAATTACGGGAATGTTTACAATAAAAATTCAGAGTTTGGGATCAGGGATGATATAAATGTCACAGCTGTGTTTTACCGGTATGATGATATCAATGGCACGGCTGTCTTGTACCAGTATGATAACATCAATGGTTTATCTGTTGTGCACCTGTATCATGCTATCGATGGCACAACTGTGTAGTACCGGTGTGATGCTATTAATGGCACAGCTGTGTTGTACCGGTATCATGATATCAACGGCACATTTGTGTTGTACCGGTACCATGATATCAATGGATCTCAATGGCACAAATGTGTTGTACCGGTATTGCTCCACTGTGACAGCAGCATTTAGCGCCATTATCTCTTGATTAATGTATCGATCCAATCGCTTGGTACCAGTAAAGCTCAGGGTTGCCCCCGTCGTCGTGCTATGGTTAAGTTTACCATGGAATCTCTTACACGATCTTAGCCTCCAACTGATTCCCGAGTACGTTTCAATCATAGTTACGTATTATTAACAATGAATAGTTTCGACTAAATAGTTTCCCCCTTACTTTTTGTAAGGATACAGCGCACCTTCATTCCACAGGTTTTGTTGTGTTTCAAAATGGGAAACATAGAGCTCGACTAACATAATTATCTTAAATGTAACAAATATATGTGGCGAAAATGTTGTCTTGTTTGCGTTATTACTTTCCTTTAATTATTAAAATGATTCTTCAAATAGGGTTAGAAAATTTAAGGTACTTTTTTTTGACACATGACTCCTAGAAAACGTGACACTGCTCAGTGAGTCTTAGAAAAGGGGGTACACGGTATGCACTAAGGGTGAACACGGGATGAAGTAAGGGGGAATACGGGAAGCAGTAAGCAGGAAACGAGATGCAGTAATGGGGAACACGGGATGCAGTAAAGGGGAACACGGGATGCAGTAAGGGGAACACGGGATGTAGCAAGAGGGAATACGGGATGCAGTTAGGGGGAACACGGGATGTAGTTGGGGGGAACACGGGATGTAGTAAGAGGGAACACGGGATGCAGTTGGGGGGAAACATGAGTATGGGGCGATAAAGAGCTCGATGACGGTCCTTAGTTACCTGTACATAAAGGCGGTCAATGCAGTATAGTCACCATGTGTTTGCTCGTTACCAAGAATAAATGCATGCCCCACACACCCACACACATTTGACGACTTCCCACACACGTCATTTGTCTGTCTCTGGGTGTTCCAATGGGTATTTACAAAAACAATCACAACAGTCCGGTAACGCTGTACTCTATTAAGCCTATCACAGGATAAAGGACTTTACCAAGCAAGCGCATCCTTGCTACAGACATGACTCGGCCAAACTGGACCGACCAACCCTTCTAAACGCTACCCCCGGGCCATGGGAAAGGGGGGGGGGGTGTGAATCTGACCGCTCGAGGCACTGGGCTCGTATACCCAAAAAAAAGAAGCAATTAGCCGGGTGGAGGAGACGACCAGTGGTGGGTGGAGGAGACGACCAGTGGTGGAAGTCTTGTCTACACCGAAGCCGCAATAGAAATCCGTAGAGAGCCCGTGGTAATGGTAAACATTAAACTCGGAGAGAGCTTTCCTGAGCATTATTCTATAGGGCTTTTATTAATTCACCCCCCCCCCCACATATTGCGTAGAGTCATTGTGTTTTGGGCCAAGATATCCCAGTACTTCTGATTGTAGTGAGGTCTTCTAATCAGTGGCATGACTTAGGTTGTACCTTTCGGGGTGGGCCAAGCTTTTGGCTACGCCCTCCCACGAAAAACATAAGCAGTTGGCAGAAAATGCCGCCCTTAGATATCAATAAGGAAAAGTGCCGCCTGGGGCTGAAAACCCCAACAGTCCGATGTACTACGCCCATGATACTAATCACCGCGTGCCCCTCTCTCCCTACAGGGTATCCACGGTTACTTCGCCTTCGTCGTGTGCGTGTTCGGGATCGTCTCCAACATCCTCAACATCATCGTGCTGACGAGGAAACACATGCGCTCGCCCACCAACTTCATACTGACCGCCCTGGCCATCGCCGACATGCTGACCATGAGCTCGTACCTGGTGTTGGCAATCTACCTGTACATCATCACAAAGTAAGTCCATAGATTTATCTAACGTCATAATTCTCCATGGTCCTCAAACACTGCCCTCACCCCCCCCCCCAAAAAAAAAAAAAAAAAAAAAAAACACTAAACGGTTACACCTGGTAAGCTGGTCAATTCTTTGTCTCTGCACTCTTAAGCTTTTACATTTCACTTTGCAGTTTCAAAATAGAATTGTAACGAATGAAGCGAAACACACAGAAATGTATTCATGATTCTGGTTAGGTACATTGCCATGGAAGCGGGAGAATAACTCCATTGAAATATATATATATATATATATATATAAAGCAAGCTTATGCGAAAGGAAATCAAAGCGTGCATCCATGTTCAGACCCGTGTAGGTTTTGTTCAAACCATCTTTTAGAAAAATATATATATTTTTTTAAATCAATAATTTATTAAGAAGCTAATAACAAAATAGAAATAAATTATTCATAAGCATTTAACAATTGAACCGCTCAATCCACTTCTAAGAAAGATTTCTTTTCACCTACAAGACCCCCACCCAACTCTTACCCCCCCCCACCCCACAAAACAATACCTAATCCATGTCAGACCTGACCAACAAGCGCCCAGTAGTCCCTATCACTGGCACACGAAAAATGTTAAGTGCATAGCCTTTCAATCGACAGGAAAAAAACGTGCTTTGTGTTTCTTTCATTAAGTGCCGTGATTTAAAGCCAGAGGGAGTCACGATCTACAATAATATTTTTTGCACACCAATTTGACAACGATTGAAGCATGATTTGTTCTTTGAAGTGGAACAGCCTGGCAGACACTAGGTCAGTTGCAGTAACAAGTTCCTAAAGCTCATGTCGTAACTCGCGGCGGGTGTTGGATCTAAATAAAGAGCGAGACTTTTGTCGTGATAAGTGTTGCCGTAGGTGATAAGCAGGTGAATTTGCAAGCTGTACAGCTATAATAAAACCAAAAAAAAAATAATAAACTTTGGTTTTTATTATTATTATTTTTTTAAATTTTGAAGTATCCGTTTTATCCTTTTTACATTGTTACATTTATTGATTGAATATAAAAGTGCCTCCTTTATCTGATTATTTTGATTATCCCGATAAGGCATGTCAAATAAGAGCATTAACCCAGAGTGAACCAAAGATAATCCAGCACTCGGAGGGCCAAATCGGATACCAGATCCACAGCACGTAGGTGAGCCGAGTGGGCCTAATGCTTTGTTCATCGAATGACTTCAATTGTTAGAATGGGATATTCCCGAGGGTGTGGTCCGCCGATAAAACTATTGGATTCTGGGTATCGAACAGACAATGCGATTAACACCTCGACGTGAGCGACCCTCAAACCGGACAATCGTAAACACGCTACAGGGCCAAGGTATCGCAGTGAGACTTGGAGGAAGTCACAGGAATCGATTGTACTAACTTTATGGGGGACACCGCGACTTTGTGAGCAGATTGGGAGAGATAGCCTGGCAATTAAAAGGTGTGGAAAAGAGATTAGGGAAACTGGTGCCCGTGAAACTAGATCAAAAGATAACGCCACGGTCAATGCTGTCGATTAAGGTCTATGTTTGTGTCGGTCGATGTAAGATGTTAATGTAGGTCAATGAAAGCGATTAAGACATATGTTTGTTTTTTTAATGTGACATTAAGGCTGATGTTTGATTCTGTCAATGAAAGAGATTAAGGCAGATGTTTGTCTCTGTCAATGTCATAGAATAAAGCATATGTTTGTTCATGTCGATGTCCCTTCTTCTTAAACACTGAAACAATAATTTCTTCACAAAAGGTAAGGCTAATCGAATGACGCCATCCGAACGGACACATTTCTTTAAAAACAGAAATATTATTTCATTCAGACATTGGACCAAAAGTGAAAACTAGATGTTGACTATGGTTAATTCCCGGTAACTCGAGGCCTTATGACGTCATCTTGGCATCAATGTGTTTGATTCATGCACAGCGGTGATTCGTGACTTCATATCCATCAATATCTTGTTAAAGTAACATCTTAAGTTTAGAATATATAACAGCAACTAGGGGTAACGAGCGACCAGGGGTAACTTCCCCACACTAAAATTTCTACAGCTTCACAAAAAAGACAGTCTGTTTATTTTCCCTATTAAGAATGTGTAAACTGGAACATTAAAACTAAGCTTCTAGTTATAACGAACAACTGCATGGAAGTCAAATAAATTATGGACACAATGATGAGTTTATTGTTTACCTTGTAGTTTTTAAAATCATCACCCACGCCCTTTATTTTCCTTTTGTGGGAAAAAATGTTTATACATTAAGTATGTTGTATGCCAGAATAGCCAAGGAAAAAAAGAATAAATACAACAACTTTATTTCACTCGTGAAAAAGTAGAAATTCATGCGCGCCCCCTTCTTTCTATTACAGGTCATTCGTCATGCGGACATGTCCACTAAAACCAGTAAATCCTCTCGCGAACCCCCTTTATTAATCCCTGCACCCCGTTTAAAGAAGTCATTGTATCCCTCGTCCTGTAATCCCCCACCTTTTTTCAACTAATTTTACACTTTCTAATATCCCGAGTCAGTGACGTCATTTGCGTAGGTCAGGGTGGGACATTTAGCCCGCCCCCCCCCCATTTTACAGGTTTTATTTAAACTGCAATGCACTGTGGCGCCTCTAGTAATAAACAACTTAAAAAGCCGACCAAGTTTTGGTTACCCCACCCCTGAAAAAAACCTGAAATGACACCCCAGGTCCCCATGTATTGATCACAGGTCTAGCAACTATGAGTTTCGCCCTTGTCCAAAAGAAAATATTGTGTAACAGAGCCTCTGCACTATTGCTCCGTCACTCAGTGTTGCTGGCTTACAATGTTGCTCTGCACGGTGTGTCCCGTCCTTGAAGCTTTGGAGACCAGCAGGCATCAAAATGTAACAGTGTGTCATTAAAAACATACACAAAATAAAAAAGCCAATCAGCAGTCGGATTAGCAAAGGATCCGTTATTTCGTGGCACGCGAGCGACATTTTTAAGACCGTTATTAATTTTCATTCTTTTATTTTTTAATTAAATATTTAGTTACAAAACATTACGGCACTTTCTATAGAAAACCGCTGTCGTAAATGATTAGTTTGACGCTAACTCACGAGCCACCTGTTATAGACGCCACCCGTGTTGATCAGCCTCAAAATCAATGAGCAGAGATTTGTCTGGTGATTCCTTTGTTTTACAAAGCATAGGGATTTTAATTGAGAACATGTAGCAACTCGAGCGATACTTCGCACCGACGGGTAAATTTTAAGTGCATACCGGATTTGGTAGGGTGGGTTGTGTGTGTGTGTGGGGGGGGGTTAAATCACAGATGGAGCTCATTTGAGATGGATTTGTTATGTACTAGTCTTGTCCCTGCCCTAGTCAATGATGGAAATCAACAGGATTTTATGTTTTCTTCATTCGACTTGGGGCTAATAGGTGAGTGTAGTTAAATTCACTGATCGCATTTTTAATTTCTAATTATATCATACGACTTGTTCTTAGGATCTAAATTCTTTTTTAATTTTTTTGTTTGATGAATGAGACGACCGACTCTTGCCCCAGCCCTTGTTTGTTTTTGGTTGTTGAACACGATTATACGTCATATCCATGTCATTTATGTTATCTAACCGTTAGAAAAACAATAACAAATCAGTTAGTTCTCATTTTCCCAAGTATTTTTCTTCTCCTCCCTTGTCAAGAAAGACTTGAGAATAAAAGGCTTATGTTTGGTGGCATGGACGAACATTTCAGGTTAACAATTTAAAAAAAAAATCAATTATTTTCTACCATATTCTGATTTCAATAAATAAAAACAAATTGAAATATTATTCTACTTAATATTTTTTTAGAATTTCAATTACAAATATACTATATATATATAAATATAGGCAATCTTGCTGTTCAGGTGCGTATATTATTTCTGATCGAAATTCGTTCTATCGGGTGTAAACGTACGTGTATTCTTCATTAAATTAAATCCAGGCAGTGATAGTTAACTAATACTGAATCATACATCGCTTATTTTCGTTTTATTTTATTTCTAAAGCATCTTTGAACATCCCCCAACCTTCCATAGCTCAATTTGTTTATATCTATTTTTTTTTACCCTGTTGACTGATTTGTGATCACCTATAAGTATACGTTGGTGTGCTAAACGAAATTTTCAAATTGTAACCATGTTCACAAAAATAATGAAATACGTGGGGGTGGGGGATGTTGAGCTTAATTAAATGTTCCGTTATTGTATAGGGGCACAGCATTGTTTTTTTCTTATATGGCATGTGTATACAGATAATTCCAATCAAAGGCTCCTGCATGGGCATGGGGGAATGGAACGAGATCAAACGTAGTACGCATTATAACATATACTTGATTATCCATATTCAAAAACTGGTACTGAAGTTTAATAATGAACTCACAATTTTAACTTTTCCTAAAACTAGCCAATATACACGCGAATTTTATATAAATTTATTGTGTGAACATGCTTTTAGTTTGAAAAGTTAAGCATCAATAAATAATGTTGTTATAATTTTACATAAATCTAATTTATTATTTCCTTTTTGTTAATATGCTTTCAGTTGAAAAATTGCAATCTGGCATGTAGGGTGAATTTAAAAAAAAAAAACAAGAAAATGGAGAGATCGTTTGTGGTATAGCTATGTACCAATGGGGCCTGTAAAAATCAATAAAAAGAAAATTTATTGCAGTACAATTTAGTTTTAGGTCTAACTAATACTGTCTAGAATAAATTTTATAAAGAATACACGTAAGATTACATGCGATAACACGAAATTCGATCAGAAATAATATACGCACCTGAACTGCAAGATTACCTAAATGTATATATTACATATATATTTAAGGGAATAGCCTCCCTTCATATTATGGCAATATATATATTTTTCCGATTCGGGTCCCCGTCCAGCTAACCATAATTTGCACACATAACATGGGGGGGGGGGACTCGTTCAAAGACAAGGTTAAATTTAAGACATAAAACAAGAAACGTTAACTTTAAAGTGTCTGTGCTACGGTTTGATCACTTATTACCATTTCTTTCCCTTTTTTCTCAGTGGAGTTATCGTTTAGAACAAAGATCTCTCTTATTTAATTTTCAAAGACATTAGATGCATGAGTTTGTCTTAAAAGACTATCACCGCTACCCCCCCAAATCCCCACTCTTTTTTTAACCACCTACCCCCTCCGACGCCCCCCCCCTCCTACCTTAAAACGCGTTCCTTTTTGCTCTAGAATAAAAAATATTTCAGATTAATTTAACTCTATTTCATTTATTCAGTATTAAGATGCATATAAGAAAAACTATGCATTGTGCTTCAAAAGTAATTATATATATATAATTACTTTTGAATATACACTATATTCACTATACAGAAAACTGGCCAAAGATGTACAATATAACTAAAGTAGTATAAGAAATTCACCATAAAAATGGTTGAACTCGAGAGGAAAGAAGCGCTATTTCAAACATTGTTTGAATTGGATTTCTCAAATCAAAGTATCAAGATATGTATGGCTGTGCTATGAACATATTGATTTCAATAGACCGATGAGTTCGACAACACAAGGATTTTATATGAGAGCTGTTTGAAGAAAAAATGAAAAGAAAAATGAACAGATAAAAATAATTTAAAAATAATTAATTCAATACCCATAGTTACATGTCGCACTTACCGACATTTATTGGTTATCTTATTATGTATTTCTGTGGTTGACTTAAATTTCTTCGAAGGAGAAAGCAGAGTTTCTTTAATAATTTAATTTCCTTGTATTGCTAATGATTTCCCACCAAAACAAGTTGAAGTATTTGAAAGAATTCTCTTGCTTTCTCCCACACAGGCCTCAGTGTGACCACACCACGACGTTCCACACCAAGCCTTGGATGTATTTTGTGCAGTTCCACAACTTGTTCGTCATCACGTGCCACATGATGGCCATGTGGCTGACCGTCTCCCTGGCCGTGTTCCGGTACATCTTCGTCTGCAAGCACCAGCTGGCCACCGTCATGTGCTCCATGAGGCGTGCCAAGATCACCGTCCTCATCGTCTTCATCGGGACGATCGTCTCGTGTATACCCTACTTTTTTATGTACCGTGTCAAGGACATAGGCCAAAACAACCGGGAATGCTACTGGGTAGTAAGCTCGGAATTCGCGGAAGCCCACCCCATCTACGTCAACTTTGTCCACTGGCTGTTCGGAGTCGTCATCAAGATCCTCCCCTGCGTCCTGCTTTCATACCTCTCCATCCTGTTGATCATTGCCATGCAGCAGGCGAAGAAGCGGCGGGCGCGCCTGCTCAACAACATCTCCCGGGTGATCGACCACGACAGCTCCAACGAGCACAACCGTACCACGATGATGCTGGTGGCCGTGGTCATGTGCTTCATTATCACAGAGATCCCGCAAGGGATCCTCGCGTGGATCAGCGCCGTAGACAATAACTTCTTCCAAAATGTCTACATACACCTTGGCGACCTTATGGACATCCTCGTGCTCATCAACAGCGCCGTGAACTTCATCCTCTACTGCATCATGTCGCAGCAGTTCCGCGACACCTTCAAGAGCCTGTTCGTCTCCAAGAACCTTCCGCCTTTTTTTCACCGCGTCAAGCATCACCCCAACGGGGGCGACTACAGCATGGTGCACACAGAAACCACTCTTGTATGAGGTCACGTTTGAAAATCCTACCTCTTCCTCCTTCTATTCGGTGCATGTCGAAGCCAGATTCGAAATCCTATCTTTAAAAAAGGGGGGGGGGAGAGAGATTCAGAACAGGATGTTATCACTTGTGTGTTTTTAAGTTCATGCGTGGTTCGTACAGTCATGGTTTATACAAATTAGAAAGAAAAACAAACACGAAGGTGCAAGTCAAAAAAGAGGATGTCCCACTACAGAAGATACGAGTCTTTTAGGAATAGTGTTTAGCTGGGTGTGGAACACATGGTTGTTAAAACAGCAAGAATATAACTTGCGCCTCAAAACATGAGTGTGTTTCGGCGATGAACGGCATTATTAACAGAATTTTAAAGCAGAAATGTTGGCGCAAGGTGAATTGATGACACTGTGCAAGAATGTGTGCAAAGAGGTCCGTAGTTTAAATGATAGGTCTATGAAGCAGTGTTATTTCCATGAAGATATGAAATGGACTTCCAAAAAATCCAACTTTTAATGAGATTTAAGAAACAGTTCATTTAAAATACAATTGAGGAAGAGGAAACACTCATCCCGTTGATAAACGATAATGGATTTGATTTTAGAGTTGACTTTTAGACATATTAGCTGCCTTTAAACCACATTGACTTTGTCTGAATGAGACTCCATTGTTAGGAGTGTCTTTGGCTATGATGAGTTGGACGTGAGCTATCGTGAGTTGGACGTGAGGTATGGTGAATTGGACGTGAGCTATGGTGAGTTGGACGTGAGCTATGGTGAATTGAACGTGAGCTATGGTGAGTTAGACGTGGGCTATGGTGAGTTGGACGTGAGTTATGGTGAGTTGGACGTGAGCTATGGTGAGTTGGACGTGAGCTATGGTGAGTTGGATGTGAGCTATGGTGAGTTGGACGTGAGCTATGGTGAGTTGGACAGCTTTCCTCGGCGTCATTTCATCGGCATACGTTCGCGACTGAATGATTATAGAGAAGGTTGTCTAGTCGAGGCCTATAAATAACATGTTATAACCCATTCTATTATGTGCAGAGTCGATTATGTCATGTTTAGTGTGATGTGTGTGTCTCTAAAGCTGTACAGATTTGAACCAAAGCATTACTAGTACTACCAGGGGCAGCATCGGGAGAAGAGAGAAATGGAGGAGTGGAGGGATGTGGTAAAGAAACAGGGCGAAAGAAAAAGTAACCACGAGTTATAGAATATAAAAGAGCTGACACAGAGTAGAGGACAGTAGAGGACATTACTTGGAATGTAATTTAAGTATCCTGGAAAACAAACCATTATTTTTAATTATGCGAAGTCTTCAACTTATTCTCTTTGCATTTAGTCACTAAATTCCGACCCTCAACCATTAATAAGAATGATCATAACGGCTGTAATAATACTAATAATTACGGGGCGGGGACGATGATAACGATAGTGATGACAATGCTAATAATAAACATGATAATTATTATAACAACATTAATGACAAAATTAATAAATAATTGTAGTAATAAATAATAATATAGGTGTATTCTGTTTAAAAAAATAATATAGGTATTTTCTGTTTAAAATAATAATATCGGTATATTCTGTTAAAAATAATAATATTGTATATTCTGTTTAATTCATCAAGCCGCATGAAATGTTTAAGAAGAGGTCAGATATTTGCACAAACTCCGCCTTTTCCTTGTACAATTGAGTCACGTGACGTCTATTTCAAGAACTAATGGCCACAAAGAGATACAAATCATAATTAATTATAAAGTAAAATGTACATTTATGTTTCAACTGTTACAATAGCAACCATGAGAAATAGTTTACAAAACTAAAAGTAACCGATGGACGTGGACCAGAACGAATCGATGATTGGGACCAGAGACGTCAGTCAAGGACTAATAGATGATTGGGACCAGAGACGTCAGTCAAGGACTAATGACCATTAAGATGGGGGACAATTTAGTCCCTTTCCTCCTACAACTTCCAAGTCCTGACAGAGGCATGTACTTTAACGGCACACCCCCTCCCACCTCTTTGTGCCACAGCCTTCTAATAATTACCACGAACACACAAAACCTCCTTCACTTAGCTGAAAATATAAGTACCCGGTACAATGTTTTGGAAACTGTTCATATGACCACAGTGAACTGTCTCAAGGTCTAATATGTTTTTTTGTTTTGTTTTTTTGTTGTTGTTTTTAAAAAGGAGATTGAGTATGAGAGATAGGGTAGAGGAAATGAGCCCAGTCATACTGAAAGCGTTAGCTCCACTACTAAAACAAATCAAAGAAAAGAAATAAATAAATAAATGTAGCATAATACAAGCGACTGTACAAGAACTAACTAAACCCTCTGTCCCTATAGAGCTGAGATCATGTTAAGGACTAACCGGCTTAGTAGGACTAACTAAAAAGCGTTGTTGGTATTGTAGGATGCCAAGATCTGGGACTAACTGTGTGCCATGGATCTTGTTAGGTGGATTTTCTTGGGTAACAAAAGTTTGACGTTGTCAGAAATCTGGCTCAAACTAGAATGTAAACTTATTATGCTTTCTTTACCTTTTTTTTTTTTGCTACACAAATTACGAAACGGAGATACACACACACATACATGTAATGAGTGTTTTTACGAACTTTTGTAATACACTAAAATAATTCCTAGAAAATCGTTATTTTATTTATGAAAAAAAGTTTTAAAATTTAAAATCTCGTAATGGTTCTCAATACCAGATACGATAAGAGGAAAAACATAATCAAAAAGCAGTAATATAAAAATTATTTAACAAAATTACAGCGTCTCAATGCCTTTAGTTCATGTTAAGTGAGACATAGTTTATAGAATGTTGAACTTGACAACAAGTATGACAGTTCATTAGTGCTGACATGAAACGTTTGAAATACAATTAGTTTTTGGGCTTTTTTTTCTCGATGGATGGAAAACATAAAATCAGCAGACAAGCCATTTTGTCCCGCATTAATTTCAACGAGATGTGGCGTATGTTATAAACATGATCATTTATTTAATATCATCATGACATCTTATAATTGGCATTTTATATTACCTGATATGTAAGTCATCTGTACAGTTAAATAACATGAGAATGCTTAAGTCGTATATAGTAAATATCCTGGAATTCAAGACTTCTGTACAGCTCTATTTTATGGAATTAAGGTCTGCTGTAAAGTTCTACTTCCTAGAATTCAATTCTGTTGTACAGTTCAATTCCTGGAATTCAGGTCTGCTGTATAGTTCTACTTCCTGGAATTCAATTCTGATGTACAGTTCTATTTTCTGCTGTACAGTTCTATTTCCTGGAATTCAGTTCTGCTGTATAGTTCTATTTCCTGGAATGCAGTTCTGCTGTATAGTTCTATTTCCTGGAATTCAGTTCTGATGTATAATTCTAATATTCTGTTAAGGTCGTGACCGCACAACAATACGTCATGTATGACGTCAACTCCGCTATTTCTTCTGAAATCATGTTCAGTGTCATGCTCAACACACTGAGACCTGTGTGTGCCAGAGATCACTACTAATTAAACAAAATTATATTTATAACCTCCCACTGTATAGCAAAAAATTCAATATGTCTTATGTATTCTTCATCTGAAATCTGTACAAAATATGTGTACTCTAAAGTCTTCTAAGTGCACACCAACTATTGCGCATGCTAACTACGTCATACTTAGAAGTGTAGATCAGATGTGTACAAAGTTCCTTTGTAAAGTAACTGTATTGTGTTTTTACATATAATAAACGTTTATTATCTCGTGTACATGTCCCTGTTTGACATCAATAATTCGTAGAATTATAGCAAGACTGTGGTGTGAGCCAGATGTCTATGACAGTGAACATAGTGAGAAATTGATTGCTTGACTCGATTGTTAAAAAAAAATAGTTTAATTTATAGGCCTACTACTTGCCTATTATATTTTATCATCAATTTTTTTTTCTCACGTAATGGCATTTTTGATTCAGCGAATAGTAAAAGAGAAATAACCGTTTGTTCAGAAATGTATTTGAATATGAATCAGACAAAAATGTTGAGGGGGAGAGGGCGTCATTTGATGACCAATTGGAAGATAGTGAATTGATTATGTTCATAAATTATTGCATGGCTGGTGAATGATTAGTGTATTTGTTTTATTTGTTTGTTTTTTGTTTGTTTCGCTGTAAGGGGTGGGGGAATGGTGAGGGGGCATTTCGTCTAGCACTTTTTTAATAGTGCCTCCTCTAACGGACTCTTTCCGTATATCCTGAAAAAGCATGTCAAATAAGAGCATTAACCCAGGGTGAACCAAAGATAATCCAGCACTCGGAGGGCCAAATCAGATACCAGATCCACAGCACGTAGGTGGGCCGAGTGGGCCTAATGCTTTGTTCATCGAATGACTTCAATTGTTAGAGAGGGATATTCCCGAGGGTGTGGTCCGCCGATAAAAACTATTGAATTCTGGGTATCGAACAGACAATGCGATTAACACCTCGACGTGAGCGACCCTCAAACCGGACAATCGTAAACACACTACAGGGCCAAGGTATCGCAGTGAGACTTGGAGGAAGTCACAGGAATCGATTGTACTAACTTTATGGGGGACACCGCGACTTTGTGAGCAGATTGGGAGAGATAGCCTGGCAATTAAAAGGTGTGGAAAAGAGATTAGGGAAACTGGTGCCCGTGAAACTAGATCAAAAGATAACGCCACGGTCAATGCTGTCGATTAAGGTCTATGTTTGTGTCGGTCGATGTAAGAAATTAGGGTATATGTTAATGTAGGTCAATGAAAGCGATTAAGACATATGTTTGTTTCTTTCGATATGTGACATTAAGGCTGATGTTTGCCTCTGTCAATGAAAGAGATTAAGTCACGATGTTTTTTTCTGTCAATGTCATAGAATAAACCATATGTTTGTTGATGTCGATGTATTATATTACAGAAGTTGTTACATTCTCTCGACATACATGATATCTTTCCACTGACAACATCAGACTTCATTGCAACATAGCGTCGGACG